ACCCAAACCATTTGAAAAGATGGAATTGCTACTCTATTTAGACATATGCATAATAATAATCACTATTATTTTTAGAGACTAAGAATCACAATGTTTCATAAAGGTTGACTAAGGCAATTTTTTGAAAGAATTTTGTCATTAAAATAAAATGTTTTAAGAGAAAAAAAATAAAATTTTGAAAAATTTTTTTTAAGGAAAATAAATGGCACCATTGGAAGCACTTTTATGTTTAATCAGTTGAGTTTAACCATAGTTTGATGGTTTATTTTCTTCAATTCCCTTTCATCAAATTCAAGCTGATCATATGCATGTTTGATTTAAAGATGAAAATAAAATGAAAAGCAAAAGTTAGGAAATCCAAGTTGTGAAAAAAGAAAGCAAAAATTGATGAAAAATAAGGAATAAATAAAAGATTTGGAATTGAAATGAGATGAAAGATTTGGGATTGAAAGAAAAAAAAACTTTGAAAAATTTAAGAAAAGAAAATTTTGAGCATTTTCATCTTTTAACTTTACTTTTGCATCATTTGCTTGTCCATCATTTAAGGATGTATACATTGGCATCTTTGTAAAAGGCATTTGCATTGCATTTGCATCATCATTTTAAGGGAAGACATTTGTATCGTAGTGGTGTTTGTCAATTTTGAAAACATTAAAGAAGAAAAAAGAAAAAGAAAGTGGTAGAAACAAATTCAAAAGATCAAGAATCTTTTAGAAATTTCAATGAGATGGCATAAGATGAGAGCTTTAAGCTCAATCTAGCTGGCATGAAAGTTGTAAACTTAGTGAAATTAGTATCAGTCAAAAAAGGTTGTGATAAATTATTTTCAAAGTATTCGTGGTGATATTCGAGTATTTAAATATGGATTTCATTTTCTTCGGAGGTGATATCGAAGCCTATTTTGAAAATCACTCGATGATAATATTCGAGTATTAAAAGTCTGAATTTCATTTTTTCAGTGGTGACATCCGAGTGTTAAAGCTAAAATTTCATTTTCTTGGTGGTAATATCTGAGTGTAAAAGCTTGAATTTCTTTTTTTTAGTGGTGATATCCAAGACATTTCCAAAATCACTCGATGGTGATATTCGAATGTTCTTCGATGGCAAAATATGAAATCATTTGCATTTTCTCGATAGTGATATTTGAGTTTTCTTCAGTGGCAATATTTGAAGTCATTTGCATTTTTTTTATTGTAATATTTGAGTTTCCTTCGGTGGCAATATCCAAACTTATTTACATTTTCTCAATGGTGATACTCAAATTTTTTTTAGGTGATGATATCTGAAATTATTTGCATTTTCTAGATAGTGATATTTAAAGTTATTTTTCAACAATGATACCTATGCATTCGTTTCGATTTATTTTTGTTCAAAGCTTTTAATGACAAGAGCTTTTAGGTTGGATTTTTTAAAAAAAATTAATATATGCTTATCCAGACAAAATTATTGTCTTTTTCGTCTTTGCCCTATTACTGATTCTCAATGATGTGCAAAGATGGGTAACTATAGACATCTAATTTTATCCAGATTTATTAAAATAAATACTAAATTACATTCCATTTTGATGTGTCAAATTTGAACTTATTTGGGCATTTTGATCATGTTTACCACATTTTGAAGTTAATTATTATACATACATATATTTTATTATTTATTATTATTAATTAAAAAAATAAAAAAAACTTGAACTGTCAAAAATGTTGAAGGCCAAATTTGGCCGTTGAATTCCACCACCCTATAGCCACCTACTAGTTTCTTAATCTTAGAAAATAAGGGATTTGACCCCTGAAAAATCTGGGATTCATCTCGATTCAGCTTTTCAAATAGAGTAATCTTGCAGACAATGAGAAAGAAGTTTTTCTAAAAGAAAAATTTTTAGAAGTTAATTTTTATAGAAAAGAAAACTATCCAAAACCAAAAAAATTAGTCCTTAACCAGAACCACCCTTAAACCGTGAAACACTATTGCCCCAAGCTAACCCTCACTACCATTACTGACACCAATACCCCTGAAAGCCACCACTAACCACCAAACCGTCAAAACGCAACCCTCTCCAAAATCACCAACTTTCACCATCAACCTTTATTGCCAAAACCTTTAACCACCAATAAACAACCCTATCTTATAAGGCTAAGCAAATAGCCAATTTAGTTAATTTGGTCATAAAAACCAAATAAACAACTTAACCAATTTAGTCTATTATAAAAATCAAATCGACCAATATATATAAAAAAAGCAAAAAAGTCAAATCGAATTAAAGTGATCAATTTCGATCGATTTTCTTAGGTTAGTCAGTTCTAGTTTTTGTTTCTTGCATTAAGTATACCTATATCATATTATTAGGTATATCTATATCATATATTTTTTAATTATTTATTTTGTATTAAGTTGAGTATTTTGGTTTATTTGATTTAGGTATTTTAAAATAAAAAATGACCATTTTGATAATGTAAATTGAAATAACAATTGAAATACCCATATAACTCAATTTACTCGACCCAATTTCCCTTGAAATTTTGATTTTTTTTATTTGTTTAGTTAATCAAAATTTGCCCAGCCCTACCATTTTCATCAACAACTTTTCAAACAAGCCAAAACAAAAAATCATTTTCTCTTTTACTGAAAATCAATAAAAAAAATCAACACAATCCTCATAATCAATAAGAGACCCGAAAAAAATATAAAAAATAATATTATAAGGTTTCGAGCCAAAAAAAAACAAAAAAAAAAAAGAAAAACGAAGGAAAAAAATGGGCTCTCAGTTAGGGAGCCGTTCAGCATGGAGAGAAGAAGAGAATAGAGAGGAGGAAGGAGAAGGGAAAAAAAAAGAAAGGGGAAGGGAAAGGGAAAGAAAGAGAAGAGAAAATAGAGTCGGTGATGAAAAAAAGGAGAAGGAAGAGGCATCAGCATCAGTAGAAGAAAGAAGAAAAAAAAGGGAAAGGAGAAAGAAAAAGAGAGAAAGTGAAGAAAAAAAAAAGATATGGCTTGACTTTTCAAATCTAATCTTTGTAATGGAATGATCCAAGTCTATTATGACCTATCCAACCAGCCCATCTTGCAACTCGATCTGGTAGCCTGTTTGACCTGACCCAGAAAATCATTTTAGGCCTTAGCATCAAAGATTCATTAGGTATAAATTCTTCCCCCTTTTCATTTTCTTACATGTTCATTTATTTATTTTTTGTCATATATATGTATTAAAATAAAAATGCATATTTTAGAAATTAAAAACTATGAATATTTGTGTTAGTGTTATATATATATATATATATATAGATTATAAGGGAATAATTATTATTGTTATTAGAAAATAAAATATAGGATAATATTTTAAGTAAAATAATGAATAACAAGAAAAAATAAATAAATTAATGAATAAAATGGTAAGATACTAATAAAGTCACAAATGGTGATTTTATTAATAATTTCAAATCAATGAAATTTTTTTGAAAATTTACTAAAAGTGATGATTTTATTGAAAATATTCATATAAAAAAATTTCTAAAATATTTCAAAAGTGTTCAAAATATTTTAGAAATTTTCAAATATAAAAATAATCACAATAATATTCACTTCGAATAAATAGTAAGAATTAAATAAATACATAAAGAAAAAATATAACAATTAAAGTCAAAATCACAAATGGTGATTTCTAAAAAAAGCATTTTCAAGATTTTGTCAAAAGTGTTAGTAGAATTTTTCAAAAGTCTTTCAATAAAAAAAATAATAACAAAACATAACAAACTTTTAATTGTCAAGAAAGGTAAAATTCTTATGATGGGATAAAGATGAAGTCACAAGGGATGATTTTATTTAAATTCTTAAATAAGATATTTTCTCAAAATAATAAAAAAATGTTGGAAATATTTCAAGAATTTAATCAACAAAATACTTACTTGCTTAAATAATAATAAATAATAAATAAACATTATAAAATAAATTAAAATTTTCGTTGATAATAAAATTAAGAGGTAATCACAAGTAGTGATTTTTCTCCAAATTTTTAAAATCATACCATAAATTTGCATAAGAAAATTATAATATACTTTATTTTTGAAATATTAAAATAAGTTTGACGATGAAACTTCTTCAATGAAATAAATGATTTTTTTGAATATTTTTTAGGTGAAAAATTTCTTGAGTTATACCAAAAGTATAAAAAATAACTTAAAATATTTTAATATTCAAATAATAAAAGTAAAAGATATAAGTGAAAGACTATTTGAATGAGATCAATTTATGATCATATAAAATTAATTGATACTGTCTTCGGGGTTGCATTGTAAGAGTATTATAACTTTGTTTTTCATATGTAACCATACTTTCAAACTCAATCTCAAATTTGTAGACCAAAAAATAAGATTGGTGACCAATCACATATAAAAAAAATTAGTAACAATTTTTTTATTTTTATATCTAGCAATTGAGTTCTCGGACTGATACGTTATGATAATTATATTTATTAAAACTATATGTACATTGAAAATATTTATTATTTGATATTATGATTAAAAATAATTAATAGAAAAGAAATGTCCATATGTAAAATTAATAAAAAAATTAAAATTACTTTTATGACCTTAAATGCCTTTATTATTGACTCAATATACATATATTATATATATATATATATATAAATATGTATATGTATATGATAATCAATTCTAATTTAACACTCTATGAATATTAAGATCAGCAAAGTAATTTTTATTTTTTATTAATTTTATATAATAGTATTATTTCCTTATTAATCATTTTTTTTAGGTATGGTATCAATTAAGAAAAAAATTTGTTAAATTATCTTTTTTTATTTTTTTGATTTTTACATATTTTTGATTTTGTATATATTTTTTATCATATCATTATTTATGTGTCTTAAAATATAAAAATATATCATTAATTGACTTAGATAATAAAAAATAAAATAAAAAATTTATTTAAATACAATAATAATTTAAGAGGATAGAAAAATTATTTTGAATGGTCGAGAGCATTTTCCATATTTTAGAAAAAAAAGATGAAATCAATGAAGATGATGTGTGGGCCCAAAAAAGAACATAAATTCCTCGTGGAATTGTGCAAAGTACAAACTGTAGAATTGCTATTTTATTAAGGGTTTCGATAATGGCAAGGCCGCCTTTTTCTACTCTCTCTCTATATCTACTAACCTATTCTTCTTTTCCGTCTGACCGTTCTCCAACTTTCTCTTTTTGCATTTTCTTTTTTTTTTTTTTTGCAGGTAACTATTTGTCTTCTTTTCCATTCTTTTCTCACCTTATCTCTTTTTCTTTTTTGTTTTGGGTTTTTTGGTTGCTGAGAAAACATTTATTCATTCTTTTGTTCTATTCTGGATTGTTTCTACAGAAAATAAATTTTTTTCCTTCAAGCCCAAAGCTCTGTTGCATGAGCATCTTGGGTGCAAAGATTTAATTTTCTTCTAGTTTCCTACTGTTTCTCTGGAACCAAACAGTGCAATCTTCTTTCGATCTTTCGATTCATTGAAGAGTGTTTTATTTTAAATTAATTGAGGTTCTGATTGATAGGTGTTGGTTATGTTGTGCTCATGATTAACGGCTTCTCTTTTTGTTTTGTCTAAAAGTAGTATATTTATAGTGAGAATTACCTAGTTGACGTTGGCCAATTGGTATTATTATTAAGCTCAATTTATTGCATAGGCATCTTGATTTCAACCTTTTGGTTGCTTTCCACCAATTAAAGTTTAAACTTTTTTCTTCAAGTACTATGTATTCTGATTGATGTGTGTTGATTATTTTGTGGATAATAATTAGTTGTTTACCTTTTGTTTGCTTAAAAGTTTGTAGATTTTATTAGTGAGACGCAATGGGGAATGCTTCATCAATGCTAACTCAATATGATATTGAAGAAGTTCAAGAGTACTGCAATAATCTATGTAGGTTGTCTGTATGCTTTTTTTTTTTTTCGTACTGGTTCTTCCATTTGGTTGTTCTATTATCTAAAATTTGATGTGTTCTAGCTGTGGGAATGCAGTCTCTCAGCAAGAAATTGTTTCATTGTACCAAAGGTTTTGCCAGTTAGATCGAAATGCAAAGGGATTTATATCTGCTGATGAATTCTTATCAGTTCCAGAGTTTGCAATGAATCCGCTCTCCCAGGTAGTTTTTTGAGTTGACTTGATTGGAGTAATTAATTGAATTCTGGGATTTGAATCTAAATTCACAGTCCAATGATAGTGTTTGTGTGCTGTGTTAGGGTTTTATGTAAACCTTTGAGTTTTTTTTTTTTTTGTTCATCTCTTGGATTTGTTGCATTTACAGAGGCTGCTTAAGATGGTGGATGGTTTGAACTTTAAGGACTTTGTAGCCTTCTTGTCAGCGTTTAGTGCTAAAGCAAGTGTACATCAGAAAATTCAATGTGAGGCTTCGCTGTCTTTTCTGTAGAGTGATTGATTTTATTGGTTTAGGGTATAATCGAATTTTAAATCAATAGTCACAAAGTAAAGGTTACAGATGATTAGTTTTTGGGCTGCCTTTTTATTTGCCATTGCTCATTGAAGTTGTACAAATGTCTTGAAGTTAGTTAATGTTTTTAATTTTCTGTGTCTCAGTTATCTTCAAAGTGTATGATTCTGATGGTAATGGGAAGGTGTCTTTCAATGACCTACTAGAAGTGTTGCGAGATTTGTCTGGTTCATTTATTTCTGACGACCAAAGAGAGGTAAACCAAGGTTTTTGCCTTTTGCTTTGCATTTTGTTATTATATTCTTCAATTAAGTAACAAGAGATGTGAGATGGTTGTAACCATACATTGCATTTTCTTGTGTCCAATATGCATAACTCGACCTTTTTTTTTTTTTTTTGGTTGTACCAGTATGCATAACTAGACCAATTTGACTTGCTGATACTATTCATGGTGGGATAATTGAACACACTCTTATTGTTTTGCGTATTAAACATCATTGAAAACAATCTCTTATCATGAATGAGTTTAGTTCACATGTCTTATTAGCAATATCTCATTGTAATGGCAAAGATAAATGAAAATACCTGTTGTGAGGAATCAGCAGCAATAAGAGCAGAATCATGGTGCAGAAATGCTAATCAGTGTGTCTGTAATGAATATGTTTTCTTATTCTTTTATATCTGAAATCAGATAACTTGTTAGAGGAGAAAGAAATATTATTAATTTGCTATGATTGTTTTACCTTAAGCGGATCTCATTGTAGGATTTGAACCCAGTTCACTTTTATTTTTGGCTATCTACCAGAAAAGGAAAAAAAGAACTAATGGATTACTCTGACCACCTAATGAATAGAGTAAAAAGGACCAAACTGATCTTGTAGGGCCCCTTAAAGCTTTTTTCTTTTATTTTGGAAACAGATGATTCTTGTTTTCCTTGAATAGCCATAGTGTTAAGGAATCTTCGAAGGCATTTACATGATTGGTTTAATGTTCAAATTCAGTCAACTTATTTTGGAGAAAGAAAGTACTCAAAAGAACATTTAGTGTTCATTCTCTTTTCATTTAACCAATATGCTGCCTAAGCATCTTCATTATTAGTTTAATTGAAATTGCCTTTAATTATCTCACAACCCCTGCCCCCCCCTTAAGAATAATTATATTGCAAAATTTAGTAGTGGTTAAATATTTGAAAAAAATAATTTAATATTTGGAATCAGATTTCTCAATGTATAGAGTTGCCGCTGTTTGTGAATATGTCTGCTTTAGTCTATGTCTTATGAGCATGGCTAAATCCAATTTCATGACGATAACGAAACTCCAATTAGATCAAAGAAGTCTCAAGTAGGTTGCTTGTTGCTAAAAGTTGTGTATTGGAGTGGTTGAGTGGCTAATATCTAACTATTAGTGATTTAGTGGTTTGCATAATATAAGACTCTTTGCCTGCTGCATTTGAATAGTGTATGATTAAGTTTTTCTAATGCATGCTGTTTATTAAGATTTTAAAAGTCCAACATTATTCTATAATTTGTAGAACTAAATATTTCCATTTCATTGTTTTCTCACAATTTTGGTTATAAGATTACTTTTAAATGGGATAGATTGTTCTTTGGTTTCTCTATTAAGGATTCCTTATAAATCTTTTGTTGACTGTATCTTTCTCTCTGATTAATTTTTATTAACCATACCTTTGATTACAAAGAATAACTGCATCCTAGTTTAAACCAACTATTCCATGCATCTGTTCCTTGAGAAGATCACATGGTTACTAAGATGTGAGGAAGTAAAATAAAACATTTTGCTCTTTTGGTTTTTCTCTTGCAGCAAGTCTTGACCCAACTTATGAAAGAAGCAGGTTACTCAAGGGACTCTTACCTAATGTTGGATGACTTCACTAAGGTACTTCCCATTCTATTTTATATTTATCTTTTAACTATTCGATTTTATATTTAATTAAGATGAAATTATGGCTTAGTTTAATTTTCTGACATAGGTTTCATTTTGCTTAAATAATCTCCTTTCTTTGGAGATGATATAGTTATCGTCATTGCTTTGTATTTGGCACAGGTTTTTGGGAGCACTGGCCTAAAAATGGAGGTTGAAGTTCCAGTTGATTAAGCTAAATTGTGCAGTCTTTAGCCTGAATGATTAGAGAGGAGCTAGCTGCATGCATCACAGGAGAGAAACACATTTTAGAATTATACATAATACGTCTTTACTTTTGCCCTTTCTTGTTTCCTAACCAAAGTGACAATAAATAATTTGCAAAGTATGTATCAAAATAAGCTTCAGTTCACTGTAAATGTTTCTATAGATATCTTCAGAATTGTCATGTCTCTGAGAAATGTGATATATCTGTTCAAGATTCTTGTTTCCTTGTCCTTCTTTTCCTTCACATGCAGCACCTATTTGAGTGATAGCATTTTCTTGGACCATGTGGAAAATCAAACAGTATGAAGATTTCTGGTTTTAGAATCGGATGTGATAAACCAATAGGTATTTTTGACCTCTTTCCTAAAATGTAATATGGCTAGTCAGGGTACTTTATACCAACTGATAGTTTAGAAAGGTTCAGCCGGACGTCGGGTTTTATGTATGGCCGCAATGAAAGCGTCAGGGGTAACTACCCTGACGGTTAAAGTCCCTATTGATGTAAGCTACGAGCAGCAGTTTGAAGCTCAATGTCAGGCCAACGCTTGTGCCTGGATAGAACCAAAATATACCGCTTTTAAGTTGAGAAAAAACCAAAATTTTGTAGCTTCTACGCTATATGATTTCACAGTTCACAATTCCTCTTCAAATATCTGACCGCATGTATTCCTGTTAAATGAAGCTGACTTTGCTCACCTGTGGCAACAGGTACAGATTTTTTGAGAAAGTGTCATTCTCATTGAAAGCAAAGAAACAATCTTTCATCTGCAACTTAGAGTTTGCTGCAGCTGCTACTGACTTTGCTTGCTGCTGTTGAAGACAAGGAAAAAGGGAAACATTCTTTTGAAAACGTTCTCAATATCCCTGGACAGATCTTTCTCGGGTAAGCAACCGTCATTCACTATCATTTTCTGCAACACAACAACCAACTTCTCCATTTTCTGATGATGATAGTGTATTCATACTTGGTGAAGTATTTATGCGAATAGAATTGCAAGCAATACATTGCATAAACCAGTCTTTTGCTAAACTTGCTAATGTTTTCTCCCTAACCTTTATATTGCCTTTCAGGATTGTTCAAGCATATGCTTGCTTATTTCACAGAAAATGTTGTTTTGTCCTTTTAGAACTGGTAAACCAAGGTCGAGCTTCCAGCACGTTTGAAACCCAAAATTTGGACTTCGTGCAGCTTCTTCAAGAAATAGGAAGAAGATAGAACTTAACTGCTTCATCTGGGATGGAATTAGATTCGTCAAGAAAGAAGTTTTTAGAGTTACAAGCACAAAACAACTAGCAATCAGTCAAGATTAAAGACTGATGTCTCAGCAGATTCTATCCTGAAGTAACAACACTTGTTTTCCAAGTTTTAGGAACGAAGGGACTTCGAGTTCAAAAGTGGCACTGAAAAAAATCTGGAGTGATAATAAGTCATCCAAGAAGTAAGGCTTGCAACAGTTATTGTAAAGGTAGGGTGATTTTGCAGGCTAGTGAAGCTGAACAACTGGATACACGATTGAAGATCCTTGAAGAAGAAAATGAAATTTTCAAACAAGCATTCTTAGATACGGTGGTGAAAAGGAAAAAATTAGGTAATGAAATGTGTCAGCTGTTTCAGACACTGCCGTACAGCCTTCACTGTAAAGATCAAGAAGATGGCCACAGAACCAGCAATGGATCTTTGATCACCAAACCTTCTATGGTATTCCATTTTGAGCATTGGTTTTATTTTAATTTTACAAAAATTTAAACAAATATAAAAAAACATAAGGAATATACATAAATTCAGATTGAATATGGCATAGCATTATCACTTTTTTAATGGCACAGTAGCACTACCTTTCTTTCACGACAAACCTGGAAACCATCTAATTGATAGAATGCTGATGCTAGCGGTGTTAAACGGGGATAGATTGACACAGAGTGCAAGATTAGAAGAGTACATGGAGTGGTTGTCCGAGTCCATGGAGTGGTTGTCCATGGGAAAGGTTACAAAAATTTCAGGATCACTAAGAAGCTGTGTAATGAACCTTGTTAGAAGTATTGGGATTAAAATTTTACAAATTTGCCCGAAAATAGCAGAATGAGGGGATCCATACAAACTTGCCAGAATATAGTAGAGAGGATCCTTGGTGCGGTGAGTGTTTGTATTGGTTAAAGAATATTCTATAAGAGGAGAATAAAAATATTTATATGTATCGGTCTTAAGTGTTAATTGATATGATTGTATATTTATAATTTTTTATATATAATAGATTTTTGTTTCTTTTATCCATAGATATAGTCAAATTAAATGTTGATTCATATTAAATTATTAATTTTTGTGTGGATAATTAATTATTATATTATGCTTCCACTTTCTTGTTTACATGAATGATTGATTGATTAATTGAGACTTTTGGCTTAATACAATGGCTTACCAAACACTCTCAAAACTTCAAATCCTTGTAGTTATTTTTAAAAGAATGATTCTAAATACTTTTTTTTTTTCTCTTTTTACACCTATTTTTTTATTTTTTAAGTAAAATTATTTATTTACCCTTTGCATTTTAATTTTAAAGTTTTTGAATATACATTACCGGTAAATTTTATAACTTATTGGATTTTATATTCGGTAAGTTAAAAAATTATATTTAGGTTTAGAAAAACATAATTAAGAGAATATTTTATAAAAATTTTTAAAATCTTTCCAATATATAATTTAGAAAGATTTTAATAGCTTTTGGATTTGCAAATTCATAAACTTTTAATAGTTAAAAAATATGAAAAAAAAAGAGAAAGGGTAATTAATTAATTTTATTTAAATTAATTTTAATATATATATATATATAGATATTTATATAAAGAGAATAATGGGATGTATTTAAAATTTCCCTTCTTAAAAACAATCCCGCTTCCACTCCTGGTTTTACACTTGGCCTTGTAGCATTTCTATTTGCACGTAATCCCTCCACGCAAGATTAACCATTTAATCTAATTGAAAGTATATATATATATATATATATATATCATAATTACTATACTAATACTATAACACTGACGTATGAAAACTGTGGGTGTTAAACTCTCGGTCGGAGCTGGATTTATCATCAACGAATTGAGTCACCAGTGCCTGTTGAAGCAGATGAGGGTAATCAAACTGTTATCGGTCTGTATAGTTTTTATTGGACTTTCGCTGAAAGCATTAGTAGTAGTTCTTTGTATGAATCCAAATTGGCGCAGGGTCTGGATTCACTATATTCATTGGATTATTGATTTATGTTTGAAAAAGTTTTCGAAGAATTGAAGTAACATTTTGTCCTCATTATCATTTGTATCCATTAAATTAACACAGCCATGAATCAATAAACTAGTTAAAAGGACGAAAGCCATGAAATGAGAAACCTCGGAATGGTCTGTTTCAATGAGTTGGACATGTTGAAATCCAGTAATATTGGGTGTATTGTGTATCAATGCTAGTTTTATATTTTTACCAGCGACATTCCGGTGCGATGCTACGGGTGTATTTGTTCTGCTTCAAGTTCCGTGAGAGAGATTAAAGAGAATCTTTAGTACAAAAATATTAAAAACTGACATAAAAATATAAACGTAGTACAAGAGAAAGAATAAAAGAAAAAAAAACACTAAAATTATTAAAGAAAGCAAAGCTAACTTATGAAGATCACAATGACCTACATTATAATTTTTATCTATTAGTAGAATAATTAAATTAAGAGTAACATCAAAATTAATGAGAAATTTAATTAAGAGTAATATCAAAATTAATGTTAAGTTTAGATATTATGATGTTGGAGTTGTATGAATGTGGTAAATAAAGTTTATTATGTATTAATCAGATATCAACAAATGAAAACAATGGCATATTTGAAAATAACAAAAGATATTGTTGGTGTCGAGCTCCAAATTAGGGGATGAAATCCTGAAATAGCCAAAGAGAAATAAGGTGGTCAAAGGGTAAAGGCAGGGAGTATTATTTACATTTGTATTTTGACCCTCAAGTCAAAGGTTGTAATAAGGGAGGTCGAAAAGAAAGGAAAATAAGCTAAAAATATAAGAAAAGTCAAATGCCTAGATAGTATCTAGAGGGCCTTATTTATAGATGGAAGGTGAAGGGTTTAAGAGATAAGCGATGACATGATCGAGTTGATGTGGCATGGATTCTGCGAGTTGGTTTGACATGTCAGAATGACTTAAAAATTTAAAATGTTGTTGGCTATCTGCTAATGTCTTTGATGAGGAATAATGGCCAAAATGCCCTTTGGACCTAAAATTACTCCTAACATTCTATCTCTCCCATCGAGTAGTCTGAGTATCAGATTGATAGGTGCCTAATTAAGCCTTTTTTGGCACTTGTGTTTGCTAGTCCAACCTTGAGTTTTTTTAGCGTCTATGGACCCGACATCACTTGCCAAAGTTAAATGCTTTTGAAGCTGATGTGAGGGTTGATAGAAAAGGTTTATGATTGATTGTAGGCTATTAAGTGTGGCCTTGGCTGATTTTGTTTACGTATGTCTGGTATGCTTGATGTTATCGAGCTTAGCCTTGAATATGACTTTTTAATTGTATATACATTACTGAGATGAGTGGCGGTGTGTCTCGACATGTGAAGAAGATGGTTTGAGCAAATTTGTTATGGCTAACAAATCCAATTTGAGCATCTGACATCGTGTTTGATGTTTATTTGTTACAATGGTTGATGTGGGACTTGTGTCTTTTCTTGATGTTGAAATTTGGTTTGTTGGTTTGGCATAAGGTTGACCTTTCCTTGATCGGTTTGATCGGTCTAAGTGGGTGGAATGACAAAGTTTCTCTTTTGTTGTTTGAAGATCGTAATTAATAAGGAGAGAGAAAATTAGGTGGTAAAAACCTAGTGCTAGGAATTTGAAAAATTTCCTTGGTAACCGTCCAAATAGGTGGCATAATTTGGAGCATTCATCTAATCTCAACATTGGCTATATAAAAACCTCTTGGGACCTTCGTTTTTCACCTTGCTATCTTTTTGCACTTAAACCGATCTACCTTTATTGACCTCAAAGATTTTATTTTTTTTCAACCAATCTTTTTTTTTTTTTTTTTACCTCGATACATTTCTTTTGCTTTTCTTTTTATAATGTCTTTTGTGCAAGTTTTAAAGCTCAAGAAGTTACAAGATGGTTTTAAAGAAGATCAGCTCAGCAATGGGGATGAGGATAATAGAGTCTATTTTATCATTACA